TATTATGCGAGCCTCTGGCGAGCATAATATTTGTTTTATTCAACGAGTTCAATACATTTAGTATTGAATCTACACGAATATAATATTCTTTTTATCACATCTATACAAAATAAGAACAGTAAACTGTTGAAATGAGTCATTTTTCAATGGCGCGTTTATAGTGTAACGCTAACATTAGCGCGCTTTAACGCTATGTTTCTATATAGCGCAAATGACGTCACGTCAAAGTGTTATTACACTAGTGTAATATCGTTTTTATTAAATGGCTTTATTACACTCCTGCGCCGCGGTTTATGTGATAAATAGAGGATATTGAATGAGTGTAGTTTAATACTAAATTTATTGAACGAGTTGAATAAAATCATATTATGCGAGCCTCTGGCGAGCATAATATTGTTTTATTCAACGAGTTCAATAAATTTAGTATTAAATCTACACGAATATAAAATTCTATTTATCACATATATGAAATAAGAACAGTAAACTGTTAAAATGAGTATTTTTTCAATGACGCGCCTATAGTGTAACGCTAACATTAGCGCGCTTTAACGCTATGCTTCTATATAGCGCAAATGACGTCACGTCAAAGTGTTATTACACTATAGTGTAATATCGTTTGTATTAAATGGCTTTATTACACTCCTGCGCCAAAGTTTTTGTGTTAAATCAACAAATGTCATTATAATCATAATGTCCAGAAATCATGTATAAATAAGGTACATTATATCAACTACTCTTTTAAACGAATAGGCAATTCTTAGAGAGATAAAACAATGGTATCGGTGTTTGGTATATAAAACGAGAGAAAGTGACAGGGAGGAAATCAAGAGCCAGTTTTGAACCGGGTGATGCTCCCCGAATTGGTCTTGGACAGAAGAAAGTACTCCTCTTGTAGTTTCATAGTTATGTCCCTGGACAAAGTACAAAGTGCAATAATTCCAAAATAAGGCAAGGCATACTTATGTTTTCTACATTGGAATCTAATCAATGAGATAGATCTACTTACAAAGTTTCCTGTTGATACCACTTATGGTTTCCCGAGTAATGTCCCAGACAAAGTTCAAAATGTAAAAATAAACAAAGGAAAATAACTCCAAAATTAGGGAAGGCAGAGTTACGATTCTTTTGCACTGAATATCTACTCATTGAAATCTATCAACCAACAAAGTTTCATGTTGATACCTCTAATAGTTTTAGAGGTATGTCCCGGACATTTTTTCCCAAAAGGGGAGATAATTCAAAAACAGGGCTAAACAAAGTAATGTTTTTTTGCACTGCACTTTTACCTAATGTGAAATATCAACCTACAACGTTTCATGTTGATGTCTCTTACAAAACTCTCCCCGACAAATTTCAAAATTTTAATATAGACAAAGGGCAATCACTCCAAAAATAAGGCAAAATAGAGTTATGGCTCTTGTGTACTGCACATCTACCTAGGGCGAAACAAAGTAATGTTATTTTTTTGCACTGCACTTTTACCTAATGAGATCTATCGACGTACAAAGTTTCATGTTAATATCTCTTATAGTTTTAGAGTTATGTCCCGGACAAGATTTTTCCAAAAGGTGAGATAAGTAAACAAATGGGACAAAACAGTATTTATTCAAGCATGCAACATTAACGTGGGCTTAAATGCCTCTCCAAATCAATTCTGTGGGATTGAACCCTTAGGTCAGCTGACAGAAACCAGCAGAAAATTCACAGGTTATTTTAGATAACCACGTGTATTCGATTATCGGCTTAACGTCGCAAAATACCAATGTATTTCCGACGGACACACTTATTACATACCCTCTTTATTATTTTTGAAGACTCAGCGTTTAATATTAAGAAATGTCACAAAAATGTCGTATTTTACATAAACAAAAAGTATATGATTTAATTTGACAATATTTTCCTGATTTCTATAGCATACAATAATATCCTTTTTAACAATTCCGCGTTATCTGGAAAAAAACAACTTGATTTTTTTTGTAATTTCTAGAAAATAAATTAGATTTGCGATATATATTCGGTATATAGAGTACAGGGTAATAATGCTTGAAAGATATAGCTTATTTTGTTTACAATATCTCTTTTCTTCGGTTCTCTTTTGTGAGTCTTTTTTGTTGTTGTTGTTGTTGTTGTGGTTTGCTTTATTTTGGATTATAACCCATAAGATTTGTGAATGTTAGCAACATCTTTATAACTGTAGAATCGACATACAAGAAAATGATACAATTTTTCTTATCATGTTTGATATTGTTATAGACAATCAAAAATAGCGGCACTAAAGTATGCATGTAGATAGTCTGAATGTTGTCAATAAACAAGAAGCTTCTTTTGCATTAGTATGATTTTATGATTGCTCGTACCACTTATGTTGCTAAGGTAAATTGTATTCCCACAAGCCTGCAGCTGATACAATTTATCTTGATGGTATTTGATATTTACTAATCAAATTTTGTCGCCTTATCTTGAAATGTAGATATCTCAAATGTATTTCTCTCCTGGCGACTCTGTTGTTCTAAGTAAGGGTATGAAAAGTTTGAAAATGCAAAGTAGTGCACATTGAAACCCCAAACACATCAGTGCTTAATGTGTTATATCTGAAAGAAAAATAGGAGCATAGGTCATAGGAAATAATTATCAGATTATAGTAAAAATAATTCAAGATTATATTTGCAAAAAATTACATATCGTCAATAAAAATGGATTCCTTAAAGATAATGCACAAAAGTCATTGCAATCTACCGGAGTGTTTGCATATTAGTAAAATATTGATAAGTAAAAAATCATTTATTTTATTAGAAGATTGACACTAGAATGTTTTTTACAGTGCAAAATCAAGTTGATTTAGTTAAGACTCGCTGACAATTACTATAATAATGTCATTACTTACATCTTTGCCGTGGACGTTTTGCGTTTATTTGTAGGCGTCGGAAAATTAAGTAAAGACATACATAAATAATATATATTGATATTTGCTTACCTATCAGATAAGAATTTTTATTGCTTACATACTTTGTACGTCACCGATGACACATTGTTGAGCACGTGAATATATATGATTTTTTATTGAAACAATCTTTATTTTGTAAACATTGTATTTTAGCTAAAATAACTAGGTTCTTGTCACCAAACGGAAGGCAAAGCTTCAGTGAAGAGTTATCCTTATTTTCAGTGTGAGAATCTTGGTATTTTTTCTTTACAAATATTTGAGAAAAGGTATGGCTAATTTTCTTTTAATTGGAATAATTCACTATAGACCTTTTTACGAACCGGTTTGTTGCGATTAAAAATCGACCAGATGTAGAAATTTCTTGCTCATGCGCAATTTGCACAGGGCAAAAGATAATCGTCCTACATAGAAATGCAGTAGGGTCTTTCAAATATAAAATAAATACATAAAATGAATGTGTGATATAATAAAACATTACCAAAACTCTGTCAGAGGTTGCTGATTAACATGTGTTCATGACTATCAAAAAGTATTTTAAAAGGCAATATTGAGTTTGTACACAATGGCATTTAAATTTATTCTCCTCACCTAGTAAACTATAACATATTCCTGTTATCTAAAGCGCAAATACGAGGGTTATCTACATAATAAAATAAGAAAAAAAACTTTTAACTGAATTATGAGTACACTATTAGAAATTAGTTTTCAATGCAACCACTATTTTGTTTTCTGAATGAATATTACTGGAATTATTTATTTATTTTCAATGAAATTGTTTATTAATATATCGATTCATCATCGGATTTTCAACAATTAAATGACATCCTGTTAGGGACTGTACAAGTTGCCGCGATTTTAGGCGAGAAAAAAATGATTGATACTTGTTTCGCGATTTCAAAAATAATTATTATAGTTTAATAAGGTTAAGAAATGAGAAGAATGAAATCAATCACTGACATCTGCGCATAAGTGATTAGGAAATGATGAAAAGTGTGATTTTTCGGAAACAATAGTAAACGTTCTTTGATTGAGTCTGTGTATAAGTGATAATGAAAAAGTGCGACATTCCTCATGCCCCATAGCACCGGCTTAAGCGGTACTCAATTTTCACACTTAACTTGCTGGAAATAAGAAAAAAACATTAATTATATACTTATGACTAAGTGTAAACAGTATTTTGTTAAATCTTGTCCTGAGGAAAACCAGACCAATAACGACCAGTATAGTATTTAATAATTCAATATTTTATGATATTACAACTTATTGTATCAAATTGACATTGAAAAAAAAAATAGATAAAAACTTTAGTAAATTATAGTGAATGAAAGAGAAAGTACTGTTATTTAGTTTTCCTATATAAATGATATAATTTATAGGTACAGCTATATGTTGTTATAGCGAACATGTTTAAACACGTGATACAATATTGTACAGGTGGTATCATTGTCGCGAACATCGCGATTATTTATAATATGTCTTTAATAATTTAATAAATGTTTAGTTTTTTCTTGTGTTTAAGTTAATAATTTGAGTAACTTATATAATGAATTTACTCAATATGCTTATGTTCTTTTTCATATGCAACGGTGTTGTGCGTTGTTGTAAAGTATCCGTTTAGCAACGGTGTAAGATATACATGTTATTCAGTTCTTATTGTAATGTGATGTTTTGTAATGTAATCACCGCCGGTGACTGTCTATTGTTAAATCAACGGCGTTTGACTCCGTTGGTCATGCATTTTTGTGTCTTTCATATATTTGGCGGGAAAAGTGATTGTATATAAAGGTTTCGTAGTATATGTAAAATTTAGTTTTTTTGTTAGTATTTAGAACCTTTCGGACTTGTGGAATTTAAAACTTAAAATTGGATTAAAAATGTGATTATTGGATTATTTACTTTGAAATAGAAAAAAATGGATATTAAAAGTAGTGAATCATTTCTTGTTGTTCTTAATTCTTTATATTACTATTTCCAGTGTAGCATTTGAAATCTTAAAATTAAAACTTCGCTACATTGTTTGGTCCCGCGAACCGGATTATTCTTGTGTTTATAAAAAATGGCAAATATCTCTTATATCAAAGGTGTTAGAACTAGGTTTCGTAATGTTCTAGAAAGAGAAATCAGTGTAGCAAAGGATTTACTTACGTATATTGTTGAGGATGGCGAAGAGGAAGAAATGGAATTAAAAATTTCAAAGTGCATGGAAAAGCTTAAGTCTTTCATTGAAAAAGTGGAAACTCAAAGTGAAAAGTTGTGTTGTTTCATTAAAGAAAGCGAAAGTGAGCTTATTGGAACGATATTGGACGAAGACTGTGCATTGTGTACATATGCTTTGGATTTACATTCGGATTTAAAACATTTCAAAGAAAAAATTGTACTTCGAATAAAGAAAAGCACCATAAAAGAAGAAGCCGTTGATCATTCTACAACAAAGCAATTACTTGATCTGCAAGCTAATATGCAGAAGTTACTTGAGTCTCAATTGAAACAAAAAGAACATTTTGAAATGAAATCGTTAGAAAATGTTTCAACGGTTAAGTTACCTAAAATTGAAATGATCTCATTCGGTGGCGACAAAACAAAGTGGATCGAGTTTTGGGACTCTTTCAAATGTGCTGTTGATAAAAACAAATCACTAACGGATGTTGAAAGATTCAACTATTTAAAAACAAAGTTGTTTGGCGAAGCTAAAATTGCTATAGCAGGTCTAGCACTCTCAAACGAAAACTACAAAGTAGCAGTGGATATACTATTAAAGAGATTTGGTAATCCTCAAGAAATCATTGACGTACACTACAATGAATTGATAAACATGCAACCTGCTTCAAATAAAGTTGAGTCCCTTAGGTGTCTTTCAGATAAAGTGGAAAGACATTTGCGAAGCTTAGAAGTTTTGAAACAAAATGTGGATCAAGATATCTTTGTGTCCATATTACGGTCAAAACTGCCGGAGGATGTTCTTATTCAGCTTGAAATTCAGAAAGGAGTAGACGTTAAGTGGACTGTGACTAGATTAAATAAACAATTACAAGAGTACTTGGTTGCTCGTGAACGTGCTGTTAAAGAAAAGGTGAAGGATACAAAAAGCAAAACAGAAGGTCATGAACGAAATACATCATTAAATAAACTGCCATCGGAAAGATATTCTTCTACCAGAAATGGTGTTACAAACATGAAATCATCAGCAACGGCGTTAGTTACTACAGGTGCCAATGCCATAAAGAAACCTTTCGATACAAAGAAACAGTGTCGTTACTGTCAGAAAGCGCATTGGAGTGATGAGTGTAATCAATACAAAACTATACGTGAAAGAAGAGACCGTGTAAAAGGAAGTTGTTTTAAATGTCTGAAACCTGGACACTTATTCAATGATTGCAAAACTAACAAAGCTTGTGTATACTGTGGAAAAATGAATGCACACCATAGAAGTCTATGTCCGAAGAAGTTCAGTCAAACTGAAAATGTGACACATTTAGCAAATGATGTACAAATGAGTTACGAATCACAAGAAGTGAGAGAAAATGGTCTCATGGCAATGAATGAAGTGATATTTATGCAAACTGCAAGAACTGAAATTCAAAACCCAGAAACAATGGAAAGTTCACATGTAAGAATTTTATTTGACTCAGGGTCACATAGGAGTTATATGTCGGAAGCATTAGCACAAAAAATGAATTTAAAGGTGTTTGGAAAACAAGATATTCATGTATCAACATTTGGCAGCAAGAACATACAAAAAATCTCAACTAAATATACAAAAGTAAGTGTGAAATTAAAGAATGGAAATAAAAAGGAAATAACTGTTAACATTGTGCCATTTATTAGTGGTGAACTCCAGCGACGACCAGTGAAAGATCTACTAGAGTCAGAAAGAGTACATGACATAATTGATAGTGTACAACTTGCAGATAGTTTACCAACAGAAGATGAAATGTCTCCAATTGAGTTTTTGATTGGTAATGACTATTACTTAGACTTTGTTCTCAGTGAGAGAATTGAGATAAAACCTGGTCTTTATTTGTTGGCTTCTAATCTAGGATGGATCCTCAGTGGAAGAACATGCAATACAGAAGTACGTAGAGAAGATGACATGAGTATGCTTATTCTCACACATGCCAGTAATACAATCAATGAATGTACATTTGCTAGTATGGACAAAAGTTTACAAACCACAAAAATTGCAATGGACGATCTATGGAATATTGAAGCAATCGGTATGACAGATAAACAGGTAGACTCTGATGATGAGATAGCAATGAAGAAATTCCGTGAAACAATCCAATACAAAGACAAACTATAATTTGTAACATGGCCTTGGAAGAATGAAGAACCCGATATACCTTAAATAGAAAATTGACAGTAGGTCGATTAAAATCGACCGTAAATCGAATGAAAAATAAGCCAGAACTTATACAGAAATATGATAATGTCATTCAAGAGCAATTTACAAAGGGCATCATTGAAAGAGTAGAAACAAAAAGAGTAGGAATTGTCCACTACTTACCTCATCATGCTGTTATCACTCCACAGAAAACCACCACAAAATTGAGAGTAGTATACGATGCCTCATCTAAGTCAAAACAGAGCAACAAAAGTTTGAATGAGTGTCTCTACAGAGGACCCGTAATGTTACACGACTTGTGTGGTATGCTTATGCGATTTAGACTACATAAGATAGCATTGGTTGCAGATATTGAGAAAGCCTTTCTACAAATTGGTTTACAGGAAAGTCAGCGAGACGTAACGCGCTTTGTGTGGTTAAAAGATATCAATAACTCGAGATTAGACAATGATAACTTACAGGAATATCGATTTTGCCGCGTGCCTTTCGGTGTAGTATCAAGTCCGTTTCTATTGGGCGCGACCATTGAATATCATCTAGACTCCTATAATAGTGAGATTGCAGAAAAAATAAAGAAAAACATTTACGTTGACAATATCATTACAGGCACCGATAACGCAAGCAAAGCAACAGCACTTTATAATGAAACAAAGAGAATATTTAACGAAGCTTCATTGAATGTGCGTGAATGGATATCAAACAGTCCTGAAGTAAACAAATCATTTCTAGAAAAAGACAAAGCAGGAACCGAATCTATGAAAGTCTTAGGACATGACTGGGATGTTCATAATGACACTTTAACATTTAAATCATGCTCCAAGATTACAAGTAGAGATATCACTAAACGACTTGTTTTGAAAAGTTTAGCAACAGTGTTTGATCCTTTAGGTCTTGTTTGTCCTGTTGTCCTTAGAGGAAAATTGTTCTTGCAGGATTTATGGAAACAAGAGAAAGGTTGGGATGATTTATTATGTAAAGAAGACCAGACTAAATGGAAAGTATTGGAGAAAGACCTTGTAGATGTTTCAAAGTGTTGTGTTCCAAGATACGTAGGTTTTTCTGGCGAAAATGTTGAAAATCGTCTTGTGTGCTTCTGCGATGCTTCTCAGAAAGCATATGCATGTGTGATCTATCTTCATCAAACATCAGGGAAAGATATAAATTTGAAACTTGTTTTTGCAAAGACCAGACTTGCACCAACAAAAACATTATCTATTCCTAGACTAGAACTTTTATCTGTTACAATTGGATACAAATGTTTGAAATTTGTGAGAGACCAATTATGTCAACAAGTTGAAAGTTCACATATCTGGACAGATTCACAATGTGTTCTTCACTGGTTACGATCACAGAAACAATTGTCTGTTTTTGTTAGGAACAGGATTAATCAAATAGATATGTGTTCAGATATATCTATTGCTTATGTACCATCAAAAGAAAACCCAGCGGATATTGCTTCAAGGGGGACAACACCGTCAAAACTGTTGAGCTGTAATTATTGGTGGAATGGCCCAACATGGCTATTAACACCAGAGAGTGAATGGCCAAATTTTGAACAAAACATGAGCGAGACAGTGCAAAAAGAAGTTGAGGCTGAAATCGTTATTAAGAAACCAAGGAAAGAAACAAGTTTGTTGCAAACTACATCAGTAAAAACTGTGGAAGACATGTCTGTGAATCCTTTAGGAATAGACATTACAAGATTTTCGTCATTAACAAAATTGTTACGGATTACGGCTTTGGCTCTTAAATTTATAAGAAAATTGAAGAAAAACGTCAATGAAAAGCAATTTATAACAGGTGGAGAAATTCGTAATGCAGAAGAAATGTGGATTAAGTCTGTGCAAAGAAATTGGTACCAAGATGTCTTTTACTCTATCGATCATAATAAAAGACATAACTTACAAGTTCAGTTGGGTGTGTTTGTTGATAAAACTGGTCTTCTGAGGTGTAAAGGCCGACTTGAAAATGCTAGTATTACCGTTGGAGCTCGATTCCCGATATTACTGCCACAGAAAGACAAGTTTACATGCCTTCTAATTGAAAAAACGCACAAAGAACTTTTACATTCAGGTGTTTCGCAATGCCTTTCAACAGTTCGCAATCGCTTCTGGATTCCTCATGGACGAGCAACTATCAAATATGTGATAAAATTATGTACAGTGTGTCGACGCCATGAAGGTAGTCCGTATAAAATGCCGCCAATGAGTCCACTACCCGTTTCACGTGTAACTGAAGCATGTCCGTTTACAAAAGTCGGAATAGATTACTTTGGACCAATTTTCATTAAGACAGCTGATGAAAATCGAAAAGTATGGGTATGTCTTTTTACATGCCTAGTCACCCGTGCATTACATCTTGAACTAGTTTCTGATATGACAACGTCAGAATTCTTACTTTGCTTTAGACGTTTTATTGCTCAACGTGGTACCCCTGTTGAAATAATTAGCGACAACGCTAAGCAATTTAAGTCAGCATCTTCAGTATTAGATCAATTGTGGTCAAATATTCACAAAGACGATGAAGTGTTGAGTTATATTTCAAATGCTAAGATAAAGTGGACTTTCAATGTAGAGCTCGCTCCTTGGATGGGAGGGTTCTACGAACGGCTCGTAGGATTAGTGAAACGTGCTTTAAGAAAAACGATTGGAAAGCGCCTGTTAACAATGATTCAACTTCAAACTGTTTTGAAAGAAATAGAGTCTTTAATAAATTCAAGGCCTTTAGTGTATGTGGACGACGATATCAATTCCAACGTACCAATTACTCCTGCACATTTTCTTACTTTAAATCCAAAAACAGGAATTCCAAATACAGAAATAAGTAATGACAGTGATTATAAACCTTATACAAGTACTGGTGACAAATTAATTGAAATTTGGAAAAAGGGTCAGAAAATGTTGGATACTTTTTGGAACATATGGAAAAAGGAGTATATATTAAGTTTAAGGGAACGGACTCAAACGAAACTGAAAAGTGGGCGTGTTTCTTCACAATTTAAGCCAAAAGTGAAAGATGTTGTACTGATAAAAGAGGACTCTCCAAGAGGAAATTGGAAATTAGGAAGAATCAGCAAATTGCTTAAAAGTAATGATGGAGAGATTCGAGCAGCAAAAGTAGTTGTTTCTTCGGGAAATGAAATAGGTCGATCACTTAACTGTTTGTATCCGCTAGAGATGTCAAATGATGAAGATTGTGATGAATACAAAATGATAAAAAGTGATGTACTTGTCAAAGAAAATAGACCTATAAGAAAGACTGCGATTAAAGCTAAAGAAAAAATAAAAAAGATGATAGAGGATGAAAGTACTATGTAATTCAACACTGAATTCAAGAATATGATTATCATACATCAAGATATTTGAATAATATCAGCTTTTATTAAAAATAAAACAAAAAGATATACAGGACTAGAAACAATTTTTTGTTTTAAAATGCCTTAAACGTTTCTTGTATTGTTGCATGTAAAACACGTGCAACGGTTCTCGTAAAACTCGTGCAACGGCTTTCGTAAAACCCGTGCAACGGAATTTGATCTGTTCAGTAAAACTCGTGTAACGGATCTTAATATAGAAATTTGTTTCGTGGAACACGTGCAACGGCTCTTTATGACATATATATATTTCTATTCAAGTTCACCAATTTTAGCAGTAGTACTATATATTTAGAACTTGCAACATGTATGTTTGTGATACATGCCGACGTGAATATTGTTCACAGAAAAGTTTGCAGAGACATATTAAAGAACGGCATGTGGATGAAAAGTGCTTCCCATGTTATTTTACAACTTGCAAGACGAAATTTATCCGACGAAGCTATTTATTAACTCATCTTTTCAAAGTACATAATTTGGACAGAAAAATTGCAAAATCACTCTCTTCGAAAGTCAAAAGTGTTCCAAGAGAGTATTTTAATACAACGCATTCTGGTTTAGAAGACATTAGTGACACAGAGGATTTTTTCACAAACCTTGAAGGCAAACAAAGTTCTAAAGTAGCTGAAGAAGAACTATTCAATGTGATTGATGATATGTCAGCATCTAACATACAATTGGATAGAAACACCAATCTGTTGGATATGTATTTCTTAAGTGAAAGTGAAGTTGATGATGCTTTCACTCTTCCAGATCTCTCGAACAAGGAGCGACAACACGATGACGAAAATGATAAAACTGGTTATGAAAATAGTAATGAAAACAATACACCGAGGAAATTTGATGTTGGCGGCTGTTATAGTGATATCAGCGATGAAGAAGATGTCACCAACGATTCCTCGTTTAATGTTCATAACAGTAATTCTTCTGTTAATGCTGCTGATGTTAATACAGAGAATTCAGCCTCCGCTGATAACTTTGATGAGAATAGTCCTGAATCTTCTGATACCGGAAGTACTACTAACAGGAATAGTCATGATGACGAAGAAATTATAGTTATTGGGAGTGACAGTGACAGTGAAGACTATGATGAAATCAAATCTACATCTATCTCCTTAACACTTGTTAAAACTGAAAAATTTAAACATGGAACTGTAAAATCAGTGAAGCGTAGTGCTTCTATTGGCTATACAGAAAACTTTTGTGAAAACGGCATGAAGTTCAAACTAAACGAGGTTTTTGATTATGTGCAAAAGGAATTTGCTGAGTATGCCAATTTCTATCATGATACTACAAAGTGACATTAAAATTTATTATGGAGTAACCTCTCCTGTTGGGAATGTCGCGAACATCGCGATTATTTATAATATGTGTTTAATAATTTAATAAATGTTTAGTTTTTTCTTGTGTTTAAGTTAATAATTTGAGTAACTTATATAATGAATTTACTCAATATGCTTATGTTCTTTTTCATATGCAACGGTGTTGTGCGTTGTTGTAAAGTATCCGTTTAGCAACGGTGTAAGATATACATGTTATTCAGTTCTTATTGTAATGTGATGTTTTGTAATGTAATCACCGCCGGTGACTGTCTATTGTTAAATCAACGGCGTTTGACTCCGTTGGTCATGCATTTTTGTGTCTTTCATATATTTGGCGGGAAAAGTGATTGTATATAAAGGTTTCGTAGTATATGTAAAATTTAGTTTTTGTTAGTATTTAGAACCTTTCGGACTTGTGGAATTTAAAACTTAAAATTGGATTAAAAATGTGATTATTGGATTATTTACTTTGAAATAGCAAAAAATGGATATTAAAAGTAGTGAATCATTTCTTGTTGTTCTTAATTCTTTATATTACTATTTCCAGTGTAGCATTTGAAATCTTAAAAATTAAACTTCGCTACAATCATAACATATAAAACTACTAAATTATTTAAATGAAAATATAGTATGGGGAATATTTTTAGTGTGGTTTCTATAACACAACAAGTACGTATCACCTTTTTAAAACTGGTACTATGTATACACTACCAAAGTTATATGGGTCAAATGATTAACTCCGGTTCTATATACAAAGGCTCCGTTTCTCAGAAAGTCCTAAGCCACAACCTGTTAAAAGACCATAACTGAGACAATTTAGCAATTCAATGAAATCATCTTTGATTAAGATAATAATGTTCATAAAAACAAATATCAACTTTAATAAAATATGTCTAAAAAAGTTTTTGTTTTTTTTAAAAATTGTATTGCAAAATATTGCATTAAGTGAACAGAAGTCGATTCCTTCAAAATTAATACAAAAAGTCCTTAAAAAGTACGAAGTTGTTTTAAATATTGGTATAGTTATGTATCTTATTTCGGTTTATTTGGAAAGTAAAACAGTTTAAAGTTAGACACTTTAATTTGTTTAAAAAGGTGTTAAACAAGAATTTATAAATGTCAATCAAATCCACTCCATAAGCAAGTAAATCCTAGCAAAAAGATAATTGCTATGTTAAAAGGTATTTATTTACAGTAGTCATCACAGTCGTGATCTTCCTACGTATGCTTTCAACAAAGTTTATGTTATACATGTAAACATTTGCGATACCAAACCGTTCAAGCTATACTCATTCAAGTGAGACAATCTTTTTCAAGAAAATCAAACTTTAGAAAGATATGTTAAGATTTTAAGTAAACAATTCGAGATTCAAGTAATAAATTTCATCTTAAAATCAATAAATGACTAGTTTTTCGTTATTTATATTCATATTTCTACTGATGACTAACACAGTAAGGGCTATTTTTGCATATTTTGACCTGTTGGTCATTTACGTAGATTTTAAGTATAATTTAAATCCTCTTTTTATTTTGTTACGATAGTATTTGACGCATACCATAAAGTATATTGACGTTCTATTTATAAATATTTTTGTTTTACAGATGACTTACAATGTACAAATCTAAATAAAATATTGTTCTGTTTTGTTAACAAAATTACCAGTTTTTACATCAAATGTAAGGCTCAGTTTCAATTATGACTTATTTTCATATTCAGAATGATATTTATATTAAGACGTGTGTAGTTTTATCTAACGACGTATTTACTTTCTTAAAAAGGTTAAAAGTTCAATTAGGAAAAGATGTTTATTTTTCTTTGTTTAATCTTTATTTTCTTACCTTTTTATGTATTCTACTTTTTATGCCCCCGTCATGTAATGTCCGCGGCATATTGTGTTACCCTGTTCCGTCATTCCGTCCTTCCGTCATTCTGTCATTCCGTCATCATCAGTTTCCGTTCATTATTTTAAGAACAGTTGCCCACATTCAACTCAAATTGAAGATATGGATATTTTATGACAAAATACAGGTCAAGTTCGAATTTGGTCATGGTTCGATTATTTTTGGCAGAGTTATGCCCCTTTTACTTTGAAAATAATATGAAATTTTCAGTTTCCGTTCATTATCTCCCCAACAGTAACACCCATTCAACTCAAACTTGACATATGGATATGTCATGAGAAAATACAGGTCAAGTTCAAATTTGGTTATGGTTCGATGATTTTTGGCAGAGTTATGCCCCTTTTACTTCGAAAATAATATGAAAGATTCAGTTTCCGTTCATTATCTCCCCAACAGTACAACCCATTCAACTCAAACTTGACATATGGATGCGTCAAAGAAATGCACAGGTCAAGTTCAAATTATGTTATGGTTCAATGATTTCTGGCATAGTTATGCCCCTTTCACTATGAAAGTAATATGAAATTTTCAGTTTCCATTTATTATCTTCCCAATGGTACAACACATTCAACTCAAATTTGACATATGGATATGTTTTTGGAATGCCCAGGCCAAGTTCGAATTTGGTCATTGTTCAATGATTTTTGGCAGAGTAATGCCCCTTTCACTTTGAAATTAATATGAAATTTCAGTTTCTGTTCGTTATCTACCCAACAGTGTTACATATTCAACTTAAATTTGACATATGGATATGTCAAAGGAATGGGCAGGCCAAGTTGGAATTTGGTCATGGTTTGATGATTTTTTGCAGAGTTATGTCCCTTTCACTTTGAAAATAATATAGATACATCTTAGGAATAAGCAGTTTATGTTTGAATTCGGTTCTGGTTCAATGATTTTAGACAAACTTATCTTTCCTGAATGTTGGAAAAATTTTGAACTTTCAGTTTCAGCACTCATACTTTTAGCAATTATTTTGGCTACAATTATGCAATATGCTATTTTTAAAAGGTTAAGACTGAATAATTTCAGTGCCTTGAACATTGTATAAAAATGGTTTGTGTTAACATTGAAAAGTATTAAGGGCTTTGAACTTAAAATGAAAAAAAAAATAATGCACCATCTGAATTTTTGGCTGCATGCAGGGGCATCCGTGGCATGATGACACATTTCTAGTTTATTATTATAACATTTCCTTAAAATGGGATTATTGCGTTTTAATGTAACAAAACATCAATAAAACCCTCTCAGAAGAAGCTTATTATCATGTATACTTGACTCCTAATACTATTTCTAATAAGTTAAAATAACAGTTTGTGTTATATAGTGTTTTCACGTAATTGCATCTGTATCAATTTTGATAAAATATAGCAGATTTCGCTTGAAGCACGGATAAAAAGGTGGCCTAACTTTCACACATACTAAGATAAAACCAATCTAAATTTGAAAATAAAAACAACCATGAATCTGAATTGGAATATAAGAAATAAATCTGAAGAGAAAGCATAATAATTTCCCTGAATGTACATTTTTTACAAATTTATTCATTCTTGTTATACAATGCAATCGCTAATTAAATGTTGATTCTACATGGGATTTTCGACGAAAGAATCTCATTAATTTCATAGTATCATTTTTAATTGCTTTACTTTTTGTTATGAAGTTCCCTTTTCTGTAATATTGAGTACCATTGTTCTCGTTTGCTTTCATTTTTAAAATC